ATGTTTACTTTAAAAAGTAGAAAGACATCTCCATTTCTATTTTTATTAGCGAAGTGACAGCAAATACAATTATTACACTGAATGGAATAGCCCAGTTTCCTTGAAAAAGCAATTATCTCCATTGTTATTCAATGAAAAAAAAAATCATAAGTGGAGCATTTATAATAAGTATAAACGGAACAACCTGTATATATATATAAAACCTGTCCCTGAACAAAACCACCATTCTCTCGGTTTTCGACATATATACTTCACTCTGCTGCTTCCATAAATATATATAAAATTAATCGCCAAACAGAACATTTTGTACATATTATATTGGTTTGTACAAACTCTTTATATCTATAAATGTTAATGTCATAATGTTCCTCCCTGATTATTCTACCAATACCATGTAAATCATCGTGATAATATCTTCTTTATTAAAAGTTCTTCCACCATATCTGCCAATCTCCAAGTACTAATAGAAAAAGGCGGATCTAAGGGAGGCTTTCGGGCTGAAGCCCGTTTTTGGGCTTAAAAGCCGTTAGTTCCGGAGGAACTATTCGGGTCTTGCTGTACGCATCAGAATCTTCAAGATCCAATTCGTCTACAGACCTACAGACCTACCACCGTTCCAGTATTGAAGCCTAGCAAAATGCTTGTATCGACTTTATTTATTTTAGAAAGAAAAACAAAAGTGGATAATGCGATTCGATAACCCCCTCTGAAATTCTGAATCCAACGGTACCCCATTCATGGTATTTGAGCATGACAGATGCTTATATTTGTTACAAAACCGATTTCGAGCCTTACTGTAATAATATATGTGGGGATGGGGATGGGAAAATATGTGGTAATGGGGATGGAGATAATTGTTAACAATATAATGGCTGTGAAATGTGGAAGGCATTGACCGTCTGGAGTGAGAGTTAGGTTAACACAATATATTTATGGGATTATAAAATTTTAGGTTTTATTTAAAAAGTTAATGTATAATTTACTGTTTGGTCAATTCCAAACGTTATTGGCATTGACTTACTGTCATTACTTAGATTTCGTGTAATTTTCAGTTAATTTAAATCAATTTTTAATCTGAGTTTGTATAAAAAAAATCTTACTTATGGTCGTGTTTATTTCTATTTAAGTTCAACTCGTAGTGTTCTAGATTTCCTCCTTAAATATCAAAGTTAACTATGATATAAAAATATGTGTGAAGTCAACTCCGAACAAACAAAAAGTTGAATTTGTTCTATTAATTATATATCACTACTGTTAGTGCTAAAGGTCGTATATTAATACTTTCAACTTTTATTCAATTTGTGCTAAAGGTGAAATTTTGTAATCTGCGAGTTAAATAAGCAGTCTGCTACGATGGAAAATAGCAGAGAGCAATAAAATATGAAAAATTATACTAATAAGTCATAAAGAAGCAATTAGTTTATATGCACTCCTGTAAAACATTCAATTTTCACATACGGTCTTTTGCACTTACAGTGGTGATGTTCAGTATGCACTGATTTTTTTTTTTTTTTTATCACGAATCATCAAATATGCAATATGCAAATTCAGAACTCTTTCACATTTTAGTATTCAATGAACAAAAATATCAAACCCATAATTGTTGAGGGATTACTGAATTTCCGAAAACGGCTTCTCCCAGAGATTTTATTCTCATACGAAAAATCTCGTTGATATTTTTTTGCCAATGTGAACGGTGATGAAGCTATACTGACCTTACTTGGTAGACGTTTTTTATTGAATCACAATCGACGCCTAGTTTTTTTTTCACCTTGTTTTTGTGTCATTCTCACCCAAATAAAAAAAATTATGAAATAAATATATTTCTTAACAATAAATATTTATAATTGCGGCGATCGTTTTTATCAATTTTCTTTTTAAAAACGTACAAAATAATGTTAGCAATAACAAAATATAAACTCGTATATCATATACAAATTTTATAACGTTCTTTTTTTCATTCTTGTTTATTTATGTTGTGGGTTAGTTTATTTAATTGGTCCTTTTTAGTGTACTAGCTGTCTAAATAAATTTCATCTTACTTTTAAAAGGGCACATAGGCACATATCAACATTTTTTTTCAATTAGTGTAAAACGAATGATAAAACGAGTGATATAATTATCATCCTATAATTCCTGTAATATTTTTTTATAATAAACTTCAAGGTTGTTTATATCGGAAACTATAGGATACACGGCCATATTTATTTTTGATATGTGGCTTTTTGTTAAGACCACATTTCTCGATTCCTATCTTTAAAAAATGATGATTTTATAGTTTCTCTTATATTATTGGAAGATAAACCAAATTTCTTAATTGTATTTACTTTCTTATCTTTTTAGAGGATGCCTTATATATAGGTAACAACCCCGATCTCTATCCTTCCATACTCTTCGTAGCATTTTATTTTTTTCAAAATTATCTAGACGATTCCAAAATCCCATAAATCCGCCAAGATCCATCAGAAGCCGTAAAATGATATTTGCCGTCAATAGGTCGATTGTGTATGATCTCTCCTCCCTCCCAAGAAATTGTATTACCCGTCTTTTCTTAAAACAGTGCTAGCGGAATTAGAATTAGAAAAATCATAGATCATAAACAATTACACTTGCTATGGTCTGGTCCATGTTTTCCTCCTTTTTCTCTGATTTGAAATATTGCACTAGAAAATTAATAACTCCGTCGAAATGTCCCCTGTGGTTTTTTCCTGCTAGTTGACGATATTTAGAGGAGATTCTTGCTTGAAATGTTAGATGTTCCGAACAGTAGATTGCATTTTGGATATGCGACCTTAAGAAAAAAAAATCTGTCACTTTTGATCCATTATATATGGTCATGACGTTCTGATGAAACGATGAAAATCTTGTTCTATAAATGACACTTCAATTGTAAAATGAGTTTTTCAAGAGGAAAAAAAACATGCAATAATTGTTTTAGTAACCTCGTGTGTGAGTAATTTGCTAAATTTTATATTATTAAACTGGTTTTTTAATGTAATCAAAAAACTTTCGCGGACCGGATTGGACATGAGTAGTTTGGAGACCCCTGATCTTGTGTTAGCGGTTTCGCATACTCCTATAAAATTTTGCTCAATGGAAGCGGCCGTTCTTTATAACTAGCTACTCCAGTATTTCCATAACAAATGAAAATTTATCCTACTCGTCCTAAATGTTAATGAATTCTTTGAATGTTTTTCTTAATGAATATAGTAAAATATTGAATGCATTACCGACCGTTCACTAACTGAAAACAACTTAAGTAATAGTAAACAGTTATTTTGATCAGGTCAAAAAAAACTTAAATACGATTTTTCATACGAATCGAAAAATAAATTTTTTTGCTCCAAATTTCCGCTTTGCGTTCGAAAAGATTAGCCTTCGTTTTTTTTTTCGAAAATCATAAAATTTGTGATAAATTCGGCAATGCTCCACTTACGAAAATTACCATATAGTTAGGGAACCTATAATATACACGAAATAGAATAATAATAAATAAGGCTGGGAGATGAGATAAAAAAATAAATAAATTTAAAAAAAATAAATAAAAAACCTGTGTGAAGTTTTTCTCTATTTATTCCATACCGAGGTATAAAATCTGAAAGTTATTTATACAGTTTTGAAGAGCAATAATTAAGCTTTCCAACGGCTTTAGTAATGTTGACTTGGGAGAAATTCCTGAGGAGATTTGGATATTATTAGTAAACGGCATGAAAAAAAATTCTAGAAAAATAAGTTCAAAAATTTATATATTTTTATTTCAAAACAAACTCTATTTAAGAGTTTTAGTAAACACTAAAAAGGAGTCCAAATCGATTATTCATGACTATAATTTACTTGGCCTACTATATTGGTAGCGTTTGGGGGGTTTTAATAATTTATTGTACATTAGAATTCGTTTAACATAATTATCAATATTGTTTTCTTTTTTTATATAAAAAAACAAATCGATTGATATATAATAACTTAGAAATCCATACAGAGCAAAGCCAGAAAACATTTAAATGATAAAATTATATACTTTTTTTTCTCAGCTCCTAAGGTGCATAAACAAGAAAATGGGTCAAATATTTTTCAAACTAGTGTCGTCAAAAAAAGTTTCAATGAAATTAGTGATCCCAAGTCCGCAGCCTACACTTGTTAACCAATAGGCAGAGAAACGATACAAAAAAAAGTGTAGTCGTATGCAGTATTTTAGATTAAATCAGGAAGTATGTATATTAAAATGCATAAGCTTCCATTACAACAATTATATTTCCATTTGCAATAATAAATAAATAAATCATTATTAGATATGATATCAATTTATTTATAGATTATCGAAACGTCACCTAAGTTGTGAATATATAATATCTTTGGGATCCAAGGTTGTATATCATAAAAATCTAAAAAGGTTGATTAAACAAACAATAAATTAGTTACCTAATTGCTTATTTAAACAAACAAATATCACCGGTAACCTGTTACTTTAAACAAACGAATATTTTAAGTAACCGGTCAGTCATTTGGTAAGATGTCATTACGTTCTTATCGCTCACGCGCACTGATAACACAGTAGTTCTTGCCCGGCGAAATGCCCCAATGTAGGTTATATAGCTGTTTCGCAAAAAGGGTCCTTGAAGATGTGAAGGTCGAAATGTAATATATACTTATTTTTCCTCTTGAGGGCTATCAGGTAATAAGTTACTTTAATTAATACAAGTTTAGTATTCATAGTATATCTGTATATTATTTGTTTTGGCTGCTGGTAGTTAAGCTGTAATTTGACATGCATATCCTATTTTATTCAAGTTTAAAATACAATAGGATATGAGAAATATGACCATGTCATTGAAACTGATCATGACATGAGAAAATGCTTTGTCATCACAAGACTGACCCCCTTCCTCTCAATATTTCATCTATTGAATCTCATTTGTGACAGATGCATTCTCCCAGTTTAGTCAGTGATCTGATAGTGAAAATTTCTTGATTCTAGTTTTTAGTACAATTTTGTTTTATAGGGATAATGGGGGAGAAACGGTTGCCAAAGTGGTACTTCGGAGGGATGGCATCTGCTGGAGCAGCCTGTTTCACTCACCCATTAGATTTAATTAAGGTATTTAATACTTTTCTATTATTTATATAAATAATATTTCGTTCAATTATTTTTCTATTTTATTATAGCTTTAGTACTAGGTGTTGTAATGAGTGCCATTGAAGCAATATTAATCACCCTTTATAATAATACATAAAATACAAATAATAATAATAATAATAATGATTATTATATGAGACATTTACTAACAAAAAGGGATAACTCTATTTTCAATTTTTTTGTAACAGCCACATTTAAATCTTTGTAAAAAGGCTAATAAATATTTATTAAAACTTTGCACTGTGAAACACAAGTACGATTCCTCGTATTCAAATTGTGTAGTACAATATCTTGTTACAGGTGCAATTACAAACACAGCAGGAAAACAAAGTGAGTGTTTTCCGTTTAGTTGGTAATATCGTCAAAAATGATGGTTTATTCTCTCTCTACAATGGAATTTCTGCATCTTTACTTCGACAATTAACTTATTCCACTGCAAGATTTGGAATCTATGAGGTAAACAATCCTTTCAATCAGTAACCTTTTACATTATATATGATAATCTATGAACACTTTTTCTGCTCTTAGCAGATTTCTGACTGTTGTATGTAAATTTATATATGTATTTATTTATTTTAAAGGTTGCTAAAAAGTATTCTCTAAAATAGTCACTATTAATCATGTAATATTAATCCTTTGACTGTGGGAGCTCATTCACGAGTTTCTACCGTACGTTGCTTTCAGAAATCCACAAAGACTTCGAAAAAAAATGGATTTTTTGCATAAGTTTGTTTAAATTGGTATATTTATAAATGTTAAAATAACTTATTAACATTTATTTTATAAAACATTTAAATAGAATATAAATAAAATCACGGATATGGCACAAATAACATAAAAAGGACATACCTTGGGTTCAGAATAAATCTGTAACTGATAGCTTCCAAATGGTCAGAATCCGGATTGACTGCATTGATTTAGCTACAGAGGAATAATGAATGCACCGACCAAGCCACCAGTCAAATGGTGAAGGCTGATCTTGCCCTATCTGTTAAAAAGTGGCAACCCCCTAGGTAGTAAGGCATATATCTTTGCCACACCAGTGACCCAACTCACCACAAGGAAGGCATATATCCCGTCCACGCCAGTGATCAAACAAGAAGGCATGTATCAATAACAAGGCATCAAAGAGTTAATAACAAGGATGAGCTAACATTTAGTTGTGCAACATATTTAAATTTAGTGTTGTTTAAGTTTGTAAATTATCAAAAATTGAAATAACTAAAATTAAATATTATAAGAATGTTTTTCCCTTCCTCACCTTTTTGGCTATTTGGGGAACATCCTGGGTCACGGGAGAATATTGCCAGGGTTGAAAGCATCAGTACACAAACTCATAGTCTTCAGTTTATACAGTTGTTTGAGGCCCTGATGGCCGAGATTGTTGGAGTGTTGCCTGTTGTAGCACTTACACTGGTTCGTATCCGGCCTGGAAAGAATTAACTTTTATTTTGTGACAGGCCAATGGAATGAAATTCGCTCTTCTCACTCTGGTTAGAATGGGATTGGTTGTAACTCTAGAACAAGCCCTCCTCCCTCCCCTGTATGCCAGAAATGGTGGGTGGTGCGTAGGAGGCAATGCAATAAAAAAAAAATTAAGATGAAGGAGAGTTTATATGGTTGCCAGGCAATGTGTGTTTTGCCTCACATTAGCCCACTCGGCCACTCCATCCCTAAATATTTTAAAACTTTAAATTGCTGACTTACAGTGGTGTACATAGATTATTTGGGTTCAGAGTGGACTTATTTTTAACATCTCTCAAAAATAAATTTATACTATAATAGTATAAAAACAATAACACTCTTTCCTGTTTAAAATGATTTATTTTTCTTTTGCAATAAAGTTATTCAATAAAATAAAAAAAAGCTCCTCCCATGGATTCCCCTCAGTAAGTGGTGCCAAGTGCAGATTGTCTCCTCCATCACTAATCTTGGTACACCACTGCTGGACTACCATTATAATATGCCTGTTTATTTTGCTAACTACAATTCAAAAGGATATTTTATTCAAAACTTATATAAAAAATATTTTTTTGAATTAAGATGAGCTTGTTAAAAATTATTTAATCTAAGTAATATCAAAACCAGATGAGACATGCTATCCAACTACTTCCTTTAAACATTAATTAACTGCGCTCTTTCACACTTTTCGCATTGCTAAGAGATTTAACATCTTGTTCTACTCTGCATCATATCCCAACATTTTTTCTTTGGAATTTTTTTTTTTGTTATTTTAAATTTGCCACTGCGTTGGAACGCATCAAGCAAATGTGTTGGTGTTAATTATATCTTCTTGAATTCCTGATATTTTCTTAACTTTTCAGCAGATCTCTAGGCAACTGCATTTTTAGTCGTCTTTGAGGCTTACCAGGTAACAGGGAGGAAGATAGAACGAGTGGATTTGGATGATTGAGAGTAGAAGAGTGAAATGTTGTGTATGTAGGATTTTACTTTTGGTATGTTCATGTCTGTGAGTATGGTGTGATTTGAAATAAACCAAGGAGCATTGACGATTTTACGGAGTATTTTGGATTGTGTAGTTTGAATTTTGTTTATTTATATTAGTTGATAGTGGGATTTTTGTGAGAAGAAAGCATTGCCGTATCTTCAGCAAAGCTATAGAGAATGGTGCTAGGGTGCTCAGGGATATCAGATGTGTAGATAGAAAATAGAAGAGGGCTTAAAACACTACCTTGTGGTACGCCCGCAAGTTGAGGAAAGAAGGAAGAAGTAGAGGAATCAATAGTAATACAGAAGAACCTGTCAAGAAAGTAAGTTGAAGGAAGGTGTGGTTTTATTTTCCACAGTAAACCATTGTGCCAGACGCTATCAAATGCTTTCTCGATATCCAGAAATATTGCTGAGCAGAATTCTTTTTTTTCGAAGGCGACTGAGATAGTGTCTACTATACGATGACACTGTTGTACAGTGAAATGGTAAGAACGAAAGCCAAATTGATGATTCGGAATAACTTCCCGACTTTCTAGGATTGGCTTTATTCTAAGAAGAAATAATTTCTCAAATATTTTGCCCATTATGGGTAAGAGTGCAATCGGACTATAAGAAGAAGGGTTACTGGTAGGTTTAGAAGGCTTAGGTATCATTTTTATTGTAGAAAGTTTCCAAAGGAGAGGGAAGTAAGTTGTGCGCAAGATAGCATTATATATGTGAGTAAGAAATCATTGGAATTTAAACTAGTTAAGAAGATAGCATTACTGTTATTATTGAGCAAACATCATGTTTTTTCATGGATTTGTTGGGGATGAAAGTAAAAACTTGCCGAGTAATTCACTTCCACAGATGATTAATTTTTAGTGTTACCAACTCATCAATTCTGTTGACCATGAAGACGCATGATTGGCTAGATAGTAATAACTATTATACTTTTGAGAAGCTAAGAAACTACTAACTTGTTGCTTCTTAAATTTTTATTTCAATATGTTTACTGTGTGTTATTTCCAATTAACATGATGAAACTATTTAGTTTAAAAGTAAATGAAAATAGTGATACACCTACTTGCTATTGGGTTCCTCCATTTTAAATGTTTGTCCTATTTGGATTTAGTGACCTTCATGACTTATAACACTGTATTAGGATCATCATATTGAAAGCAAAAACCATAGCATAAAAAGAAACTAGATATCCCAAACATCCTGAATAAGACCTGAAACTTATTTTTATTTTTAACCTAAATTTTCCTTATATATGTGTTGCCATTTTATAGATTGCCAAAGAGCATCTTTCATCTCATGGGGAAAAGGTCTCTTTTGGAAATAGAGTGCTGATTGCTGGTATGGCAGGAGCAGCTGGTGGGGTAGTTGGTACTCCTGCTGATCTAGTCAACGTGAGAATGCAGAATGATATGAAATTACCACGTGAACAAAGGAGAAAGTATGAAATATTTTAGTCATTATTTTTCAGTATAACTATTAACTGTTGCCATATTTTAGAAATTCCTATATTCCAAAAATAGTGAAAATAGAATTGGTTATTCTCAGAGAAAACACAAGTAAAGTAACTAATTATTACTTTTCTTTTGTCTTCCCTTCCGTGCCTTTTAGACTACATGGGGTTTTTCCCCGGCCGGGGGAAAGGATGAAGGAATTATACCAAGTTAAAAGTCCCACCGGGCATCGGGATTTGAACTCATAATTATTTTTCTATCTCAAACTTTGGTTATCAGGTTGTTGTGCTCACTCGGCCAGCCCGCCCCTATATAACTATAAATTTCTTTCTTTTAGTTACAAAAATGTTTTAATTATCGATGAAATAAAGTATAATATAAATAGATATAAACTAGTATACCCCAGCATGAATTATGACTTTAGATAGCTAGTCTTCTCCATAGTGAACTCAACTATAAGATACATCAGCAAAACATGTTATTCATATACACAATATAATATAATCAATAGGCACATAAGTCAAATCAATGGCTGAAGAAGCTTCATACTTAACCACGACTGTTAAGGTAACAATGTATTTAATACTGCCCCATTAGAAAGTATTTCTCCAGTTAAATAGTAAAACAATAAAACACTTACACTAATTCATGGTTCTACTCGCTCGAGACCTATTTTTTTGCTGTAGAAGAGCTTTGGTTTGTAGTTCTCTTGCTTACTAAAAGCATAGAAGTCAATTTAATGGGAGTGTAGAACCCATACCAAAATATTTTTTTTATTTTTAATAAATATCAAAAGGAATTATATATCATCATGGGGTGGAGGCTATGTTCCTCCATTTATATTGTAAATAGTTTTTTAATTTGTCAATTATCATAAATAGGAGTATTTTTATCTTTAAAACCTTAATATGTGATAAAACTATGCGTGTAGGACCTGGTATAAGTCCTTTTGAACTATTCAGAATCTTGATTTTCAATTCAAAATAATTAAAACATGATTTATCGTCGACTTTTAAACCATCTGCTTTAAAATCTTATAATATTTGAAGGAAGAAAAAACTAGTCTCATTTATTTTTTCTTTTGGAGCTTTCAGTGCTCTGCACCATATTCATCTTTCTATGCTTATTCTATCCATTTCTGGATTTCGTCCTTTAAATAAATTTATTCTATCATTATAGACTGATGTTTTAATGTTAACAAGAATTTTTGTTGGCTTTTCCATTATAGGAGGAGAGGAAACCCCTATTTCACCTTATGTTCTCATTTGCGCTCATACCACAGCTTATTTTCCAGAGTAAGAACATAAATTATATAAAAACACATAAGCTGCGATAGGGGTAGATAATGGAAAAGCCCCCCAAAAAAAGTTTAACGTTAAGACAATGATTAAATCAATTTATTTAAAGAACGAAATCAAAAAATGGATAAAATGAGCATAAAAAGATGAAATGGTGCAGAGCACCAAAAGTTCCTAAAGATAAAATAAATGAGACTGTTGAAAAGGAGGGTGTTGTTTTTCTTACTTCAACTATAATTACACAGTCTACCTATTGAAACATAATCTTATAATATTTTCAATAGCTTTTATTGTTCTTATAGTGAGATTTTTAATTTTGGAATTCATCACTTTTAGAAATTCCATTTCATTTGAAACTTCATTCATCAAAATCCATCACTCCTGAGAGCCTGGAAAGGGATCTATACTATAGTAGATGAATATGATCTATACCGTTTTCTTAATATTTTAATATCTTAATTTCTGTCTAATAAAAATCCATCTATATTATAAAAGTTTTACATGCGGGGGAGCTAATGTTGGTGGTGTTGTTTTAATCATTTTCCTACCTACTTAATATCTGCTTTTAATATTGACCAATGTTTCCACATTAGTGTGGAGCATCGGACCATTGCAGCTAGTTTGTATATATTTAAATTCACAAAAAGATTTACTTATTACACTTCAAAAATGTGAATTAATTATTAAGTTTGAATATTTCATTTCTAATTTATAAAAATAAAGAGAACAAAATAGAATAAGCATTTAAAAATAAATAAATGTTTTGATTTGTTTAGTTACAAGAATGCAATTGATGGATTGTGGAGAGTTGCTAGAGAAGAGGGCCCAATAAAAATGTTTAATGGCGCTTCGGCAGCGACAACACGAGCTGTCTTCATGACAATTGGCCAACTCTCATTCTATGACTTATTCAAAGATTTCTTATTAAGCACTAGTTACTTTACTGATAATTCAACGACTCATTTTCTTTCTTCGTTAGGAGCTGTAAGTAATTTTCATTAAATTAAAATATTTTTAACTCAAATTTATTATTTTTAAACAATATAATTTAATCTTAAAATTATTCTGTAATGAAGTACCGTGCCAGTTTCCAAAACTTTGAAATTTTATTAAACTTCATATGTATATATTAATTGTTTTTAGTTCCATTTTCTTACAATGGCTCTTTTTACAGTTAATATATATTCTTACCTCATTTAATCGTGTAGTTTGCTCAAACTTCAATGTTTTTTAACACAAATTTATTATTTTGTATTCCATTGAAACTTTTTGTTCTGATATGCAGGTATTTTAATTTGCAGTTTAAGAGATCATTAGGTTTTTATAGCTTGGCTCTGCAATAACCTCTATAAAATAATCATCTTAATGAGATAAATCAAACATAATATATCAATTGTTCTTGACCATATTCTTCTGTTTCTGAAAAAGATTGAGATTTGAAAAGATTTCAAGCTCATTTAATTAAATCTTTATAATGCGACAATGAAATTTTTTCGAAACCTATAGGGTCTCTGAAAAGCTGCAATCATAGCTTAAATATTTTAAATAGAAGAATAATACTAGAGAAAGTAGCCAAAGTCAGTATCAAGGCACTATTATATTTATTCTGATTACATACACAATTAAGAATTTCAGAGTCATTAAAAATAAATTAAGAATTTGTGTAGAGGAACCAGAAAACATGAATGGATAAGCATAATAAACATTGATAGGTAAAGTTAAACAATCCGTGTGCCAGATATGATCAGGAAGGGTATAAAAAGATAAATAAAGTTAGCTGAATATAGATTTGTCAATTTCAATTCAGAAATTTAATGTTTAACAATCAGAAATTTATTTAAAATGTCATAATTTTTCAGGTTGACCTAATTCTTATTTTATTTTTGTAATTAAATTTATTTGTTTTCAACCCATTCCAGTTTTATCTTGTTTTTTATATAGAAATAGTTATGAGATTATATAATTTCTGAATTACCCCCAGGGTGGTGTAGCGACTACTTTGACTCAACCGTTAGATGTTCTTAAAACAAGAGCTATGAACGCGAAACCTGGAGAATTCAAAGGACTTATGGATATTGCAATATACACAGCTAAACTTGGGCCATTGGGTTTCTTCAAGGTAAGTCAATTTAAAAGTAATGAAAAGAATTCTTGGAATTTTGAACTTGTATAAATTATTTCAAGTGCAATGTCTAATTGTAAATTATTTGAATGTTCAAAGTTGTTTTATCTTTTTTTTCTTCTCCATAGTTGACTCAAATATATTTGATTAAGTTAGTCATGGATGTTTCTTTAACATAGCGATAATAGAATAAGAAAACATTCTAAAGATCCAAAAAATTCGTAAATCTGTTAATAATTATCAGGAAATTAGGCTTCAATGAATATTATGTCATTTAGTCCATATAGTGGCTATGGAAATAACTGGTGGGGCTATAAATTCCTCTATTAGTTACCTTATGTTTTATGGAAAACTGGTGAAATAGACAAATAAAAATGATAAAAATAAGCAAATTGATGCATTTACATCATAAACAAATGTTTATAGATCGATAAATTACAGAATAAGTAGACAACAGATAAAAATAGTAACATTAAATATAAATAAAGTAAATCCTCTTGAACCACATATATCGCATGTTACATTAAAAAAAAAAAATTGGCTAACATTTATTCTTTATTTAAGTAAATAAAAGACATGAAAATAAAAAATTGATATTATTTCATTCTTAGTGGAGTTTGTCATTGGCATAGTGTTAAAATCTGTGCAAGTTTTTTTTTTTTTTTATGCAATGATTAGGGCCTTCTTGTGTCAATTAATAAAACAATTTATTGCACAATTATCCAAATTTTTGACTCCTCTGGGATATTATCTCATTTGACTACATATTGTGAATTTTCAACTGAAACATATATAAATAATTTCTCAGACTTACTAGTAGACACAATCTCATTTATAAAACCAATAACAGTATTAAAAAAGAATATTAACCAGTCAAAAATGTGTACATAAAATAATGGAAACTTCTCAGACGAATTATTAGTAGACACTAGCCCATTTATAAAACCAATAATCCACACATATATTATTACAGTAAGGCTCAAAATCGGCTTTATACCAAATATAAGCTCCTGTCAGGCTCAAATACCATGAATGCGGTACCGTTGGATTCAGAATTTCACGGGGGTTAGCGAATCGTATTCCCTACTTTTGTTTTTCTTTCTAAAATAAATAAAGTCGATACAAACATTTTGCTAGTCTTCAATACAGGAATGGTGGTAGGTCTGTAGATCGATACGGGACAAATTGGACCTTGAAGATTTTGATGCGTACAGCAAGACCCGGATAGTTCCTCCGGAACTATCGGATCCTGCATTTTTAAGCTCCATAACGTACTATTTTCGAGATAACGCAAGGCATAGGGTTCGCATCCACACAATCTTACATTAATTGTAGTACTGCCGTTGAATACAAGTCTCATTTCGTCGACTTGATGCCTCTATGATCGAGAGAGGAGGAGTTTATATTATTTATCGATGGTGTTTTTGATCGGCAAGCCATATCATCGTTAATTCTTCACCAAGTCTCAAGATTGAGCCACCAATTTTGAAGGCTTCCTTCTCCTTCAGGCAGGCAAAATAGTCCAATCAACCCGAAAATTCAGGCAAACAAGTTATGAAAGAAAGCACACTTCATTTGCAAATAACTAAAAAATTACACACTATTCCCTGGGTTATGCTTATACCTATATAAAATATTACTAAATTGCCTACAATAGGAAAAAAAAATCATCGAAATCGGACAATTTTTAGCAAAGATACAGGTTATTGAAATTTGCAAACATGTTGGTTCCAAACATTAATGAAGATTTAAAATAATTTTTGTTTCCTTTGTCGTTTATATTTATCGATAAAGTAACAATTGATTTTCTTATCTTTTGATACGTGGCATTATTTTTTTTTCTTAATAATTAGGCATTTGAAAAAAATATGCTGTGCAAATTTTTTGCTCGGGCCTACTAGTAGTATTAAAAATCTGGTTTAATCCTGTAGTTTGCTCAAACTTCAATACTTTTTTAACACAAATTTATTATTATAAATTCTCTTGAACACCTGTATCGTGTATTGTAAGTTGTGTATGTAGCACGCATTACACAACTTTCACTTACAGCTCTTCTTCGAAAAGCAATTCTTGTCTGGCTAAATTCTGCTATTACAAGAAGTTTCTGAAGCACATTTTTAATTGAGCAAAATCTTAAACAACATATTTTCGATTTTTGTCATATTTATCAAAAACTCATTAAGATCATTAAAATGACATAAATCCTATTTATTATATCCATTGTAGGCAATAAAAACCATTTTACTGCATCAATCTATTTGAATCACATAACTCCAATCTCTGAGCTCTTATAGACAAAGAGAGATTTGAAAGTACATATATATTTAATTATGAATAAGTAAGGTCATACAGCACACTAAAAATTGTAGGAATTAAATCTCTATCACTTTTTACATTTATTTAAATTCTTATTTTTTACCCTTGGAAAATTTACCAAAATACAATTACTTGCTTTTAAAAACAGCATCGCTAGATCAAAAGTCGTCACACTGATTGTAAGTGTATGATGTGATTTCATTAAGTGAATTTTTGTTGGAATAAATCGACGAGGTATACCTAATTGTTTAATTATAATATCAGATTTAGAGTTATCAAACTACATTAAATGTATTTAAGGTTATAAACATTTCACTTCTTCTTTCACACAAGTAACTGCCTTGATTAGGTGGATTTTGAATACTTTTTTGGAACTAAAAAAAAAATTTACGTTTACATTTATTTAGTAAATTTCGTTTCCTTGGAAACATGTGATTTCTGTTAAATAATATTCGTTTTTAAAAAATTATTATTTATCATATTTCATCACTCTCCATTATCTTCTACGACTTTCTATATTAGATATTGTTTTTTCTAAAAGTCTCTGCTTTCCAACGATATATTATACATACACCTTCCGACAATTATTTCCGAAGATTCACTAAAATAAGCATTTTATTTTTTTTTTCTCCATTTTTCAATTATCAAATTCTTTCAAAAGTTATCTTTAGCATTTTTTGTAACTCCTAATAATGAGAGATAGTTAATTATTTAAAATAAACCAAATTAAATGTACTTTATAGGAAGAACTGTTGAACATTGGCCATTTAAGCCCTGTAAAGTGACATCATTGGAAATAAGACCTAAATGATATTAAAGACCGCTTAATTGTACAATGATTCACCAAGTTTAATCAAAATCGTTAGAGCCATTTTTGAGAAAATCGTAATAATGTGGAAAATCGATTATATTAAGTGCCACTTCTGATTTGCTGATTTAGACAAAAAAGTTTCTACTTTTTTACAAGTACAACTTTTCGTTTTTGAGCTAGACTGATAACATAATTTTATAACACACACACTCGCAGACCATTTTGCCAGACTTGGTCGTTTGGACTTAGGGGACCTTAAAACTTGTATTTCCGTTGAAAACTCAGATTCAAAAATCTTTACGATCGCAATACTTTCTCTTGCTATATATTACATAAATAAATAAGTGAAAGTAAAAAAGAATATTAACCAACCAAAAATATATACATAAAATAGATGAAACTTGCTTATAGCAATGCACTGTCTTGCACACCTAGTACACAGCAGAATGAGATCAACCCTTCAGGATATGAAAGGCATTGCCAACATTAAATTATTTGATGTTATTATTATTTTTATAAATATTCAACTATTCTTTAATTGTGCCTTGATGTCACAGGATTGAAATTTAATTTAACAAAAAAGACGTGTTCCTGTGTATTCCTTTATTTTTCACTTTTGCGTAACCAGTTTTGGTCTTTTATCAGACCTTCACCAGGCTAGTAAAATAATAAAATTAATAATAACGACAATAAAAAGAATAAAAACTTTTGTAAATAATTATAAAACCTAATTTAAATTTAACAATTTTTAAATCAAATCTTAATAAATTAATCAATAAAAATGGTAATCACCCAACTGATGGTGGTATTCGTTTCCTACTTGTAATCTGTGAAAACTGATATTATTTAACAGAAATCACATATGTTAAAAGAAATTAAATAAAATAACCCTCCAAGGCGTCTGAAGAGAAGATCTCCTATTGTAATTATATTTTTTAGAGTGCTACCAGTGGGTAGTTTCTCAACAAGTGTTTTTATGTTATTATTTTTTGTTATCACATTTATTGAATATATTTTTATTCTTAATACAGTTTTAAATATCATAAATAAAAAAATGTAAAATTTTAAAATTATTTTTAAGTTTGAAAAGAAAGTTTATAAAATTCACTGAATCAAGCCAATGGTATTGTTTAAAAAATTATTTCATTGTACTTTGTGTAAGAAGTGAAATATAAAAATATTGTATAGATGAGTAAAACATATGTTTATAAACTTCAATAATTTACTGTAATTTAATATATCAACATCTGATAATATATTTAAATCATTAGATATCTATCATCGACTAATTTCAAAGAATCGTGTAATGTGTAATGTAATTTATTATTTTTACAACTGTATTAGAAATAAAAATACATAAAAAATTAAATCAGTGAATAATTTGATGTATTTTCACTCTGTGAAATCGCAACACTATCCAGTGACGATCGGTGTGACAACTTTTGACCTATCGATGGTAGGCAATGAAAATATCATAACTCCATTTTAGTAAACTTTACAATGGAAAAATAAGAGTTTAAGAACTAATAGTAGTACAATCCCTAATCATGTGCATGTAGATTAAAGATACAAATGTACTTTCAAATCTCTCTAGGCATATATAGCCCAGAGACTGGAGTTATTTAGTTTACAAAAATAGATGGAGTCATGAGGTTTTCCTTGCCTACCGTCGATATAATAATATGATTTGTGATATTTTAATAGTTAGCTTTAAGGTTTAAGGTTTAGCTCTGTTAAAAATTGGTAGCCAAAGAGATTAGATTCAACCTCTACCTTTGGAGATACTGTAATCCTTTCTTTGATAGCCCTGGAGCCAGAGCCCAAAAATCAACCTGATCGCAGGCGAAGGTTTGATTATAAATTACAAAATTTTATGTTATTCTGAGTAAAAAGAACCTTGTCTGCCGTTCCAGAGTCGCTGCTTTAAAAAATGACGGCTGATTTAAAGAATATTAGGTCTGTAATTTGAGGATCGAAACGGGAAATCCATTGCGAAAAATGTGAGAAAAGTTTTTATTTTTTTAACTTGTATATATGGGTTCAGACATGTAAAAAACAAAATTGCTAACGCGGGCCACCACGTGAAAACTTTTTACAGCCAAAAAAGTCAGAATTATTCGATTTTTTTTTTGTTTTTTCACCTATAACTCCTAAATGATTCATCAGACAGTAAAATTTACTTTTTAATAAATTAAACGTTTAACTTTGCATCGAACGAGTACATAAACTTTATAGTTTGGTTACCTTTTAAGGTATAAAACCACAGTCAACCAACGCTGATTTATGCCAAAATTGTCAAAAACTGACATAATTTACTATAAATGGCCCTATAACTTGGAAATGAGTTCCCTAAGAGAAAAACCCATAGAATCAAAGTTGTAGAGCATCAAATTTTGTGTCTGCTGAGTACCAACTAATTTAACGTAGTTAACTTACTCTGAACAAAATCGGTAATTTCCCGAAGGTTGGAAATTGAAAATGAAGGTAAATGTGATTTTTAATATTTTAACAGTATGGGTGTCTATTCTACTTACTTATTTTTATTTAGAGGCTGTTACATGCTGTATAAGCCTCTTTTTCACCTCTCAGCAGCGAAGGATTTTGATAAACGGTGTGTCGAAAGATACCGAATTTCATAAAAGAATAACGAATCCCGATTGGAGATATATAATTGACTTTCAATGAAAATGTTAGTACTCAGCAGACGCAAAATTAGATGCTCTACAACTTTGATCCTATGGGTTTTCTCTCTTAGGGAACTCATTTCCAAATTAGAGGGGCATTTATAGTAATTTGTGTCAGTTTTTTGACAAATTTGGTAAAAATCAGCGTTGGTTAACCGTGATTTTATATCTTAAAAGGTAACCAAACTATAAAGTTAATGTACTCATTCGACGCAAAATTTAACGTTCTTTAATTTATTAAAAAGTAAATTTTTCTGTCTGATGCATCATTTAGGAGTTATAGGTGAAAAAACAAAAAAATATTGAAAAATTCTGACTTTTTTGGCTGTAAAAAGTTTTCCCGTAGTGGCCCGCGTTAGCAATTTTGTTTTTTACATGTCTGAACCCATCTATACAAGTTAAAAAAATAAAAACTTTTCCCACATTTTTCGCAATGGATTTCCCGTTTCGATCCTCAAATTACAGATCTAATATTCTTTAAATCAGCCGCCATTTTTTAAAGCAGTGGCTCTGGAATGGCATACAAGGTTCTTTTTACTCAGAATAACATACACTTTCGTAATTTGTAATCAAACCTTCGCCTGCGATCAGGTCGATTTTGGGCCCTGGCTCCAGGGCTATGAGAAATTGATAATGGTTGACTTCAAATTCTGTTTATTTTTCTTCATTACCATCAATATAACTTTATGTGGTTGTTTTTAATGAATTTTTATTTTAGTGATATGTATTGACGTATCTACTAAAAACTTGAAAATCGTTTATTTTTTAATTTGGCTGGAAGATTTTTTAAAAAATAAATTGTCATTTATAACTAACTAAATAAAAATTAATGGTGATTAAAGGTGAAGTTAAAATTTAAAATTAACTTCTTTTTACAATTGCTTGTGATTACTGGAGTGGTATCACATTCATAGTTTATGCTATTAAGTGTATTTTTATTCTATGAAATGTTCCACTATTTTGGAAGTTTGTTCTTTAAAATTATATCAACTGAACTGAATTAATACCACAAATGTTTTGGAGTTAAATGGGATGTGACATATCTTATTATAGATGAATATCTGATCATATAAATAGTTTTTTGAGTATACAATGTATGAAAATATTAATATTCAGGTATTTATTTATACTTTTTTGTATGTTTCAGGGGTATGTTCCAGCATTTATAAGATTGGCTCCACATACCATTCTAACTTTTATGATTCTAGAACAATTAACCGAAAGTTTTGGTGTGTTGCATTCTCCGAACCACTAATGAAAATCTGTCGTTTTGCTATAAGAACATATCATTGCCTAATGCTAACATTATCATACTTTGCCAGTGTTGTGGTCAGTTGATGTATATAAAGGCAACTTGCTACACATAATCTTTTATCATGTATAAACTATTCTTTCCATTTCGTATCATGGAAATCGTTTCAGACAAAATAAAGTGCATGATTTTTAGACAAATGGCAAAGTAGTATCTGTAAATGGGTGTGCATAAATAAACACACACATATATATATTACGTGGAAATTTGCTAAGTTTATAAATTATTCATAATCAAGTAGGTTTTTTATGTTACTGGTTATAAAATCCTACTTAGCGTTCGTACTTAAATAATTACAAGTGAATGATTCTTTAGAAATTATAAAAATATTTTTTATTTAGTCCATTGACTTTGAACAAAAAAATGTATGTATCAATGTGTTAACTTGAGTTAATTCTTGTCATAAGGATTTTCTATTGGCATTTATTAGAATGTGATGAAGTAATGAATTTTCTTAATATCTATTATTAATTTATAAATCGACGTATTACTATTTTAATGTTAAATTTATTGCTCAAAATAATTCTCTTTCTTATGTGTTTAAAAGTCTTACAGGAGTCTTAATTAAATTGCCAATGGAACCTTAACCCATGTGATAACATTAAATTAAGATTTAAAATCTTACTGTAGCTAAAATATATTAACTGCAAATTTAATGAGAAAAAATTATATTTATGTTAATTAAGTTTCAGATTTTATTTATTTTGCTCTCTTAGTAACATAAAAATATTAAATTAGCTTGCTTTCCCTCCACCGTTCTCATGGGTTACATTTTAATCCATGACAATAGAAAAATTTTAATGGTTTTTACAATGACTTTGTGATTGGCAGTATAAAAATCTAGAATACTCCCTGTTCACTTGTTTGAACAATTCAAAACCTACTGCCTTATTGCCAGCATTTGATATATGAAGATAAAATAGAAGTCATCTGACTTGTGGTTTAACTAAGCCAATTCACTTTCCTTGTTAGTAACAATGAGATATTTTACCTCTCAGAGAACTTCATTTTTATTTATGATATAAGTTTTCATTTTAGTCTATTCATCGTCAAAAATTGTTTTGTATACCATGTTATTTTTTATTATTATTTTTTTTTATATGCAAAATCAAAAAAATTGTTCACTAAATATAGGTAATTGAAATTAAAAAAGTTAAAATTAGTATTTTAAAGTTTAAAAGATCCATCAAAGAGTGCTCTACCAGGTGTAGAGTATCAAAGAGCAACAAAAACTATTTCAGTATGTTATATTTGTGAAGAAAGTGATAAAAAAATATCTCGAATATTTCCAATCCAGCGAATTTAATTTTTACAGCTAAAGATGGGTTCTGTCTATAGTTAGTGATGAGGATTTCTCTCAGTATGTCAGCATTTACAAGGTGTGGGATTGAGTTGATTTTTTTATCTACTCTCTAATTCATTTTATTTTTTAAGATTTAAAAAAAAATGTTTTAGTTTTTTTAAATAATTATATAGTATATTTTTTTATTAAATATTAACAATTTAAGGCGACAGATAACAAAAAAAATACCGTCCTATAGATTGGAATAAGCCTTATGGGGAAAAAAATTCCTCAAAGGAAATGGGAAATGAAACTACTATTTGCTTTTGTTTTAATCATTATTGTGCCAAATAGGAACTTTGAAGTGTTTATTTAGACTACTTAATTATTTTATTTTTTTAAATGGTGCTTCCTTTGCATTTAAGGAAACAGTATTACTTAAGTGTTCTACTATCAAAGTCATTCCATGGTTAAATTATTTATATTTATATCAATGATCTGCATTTATGTAAATTTTACCTGTAAAGAAATATTTATTTATCTATATATTATACGTATATTTATAATTGTTAAATAAATTATTGTTGTTCATGCAATGAGTATTTTTGAATTTTATTATTACCTCATTTTTTAAACTGAAAATATCACTAACCTCAAAAAAGTGGTAATTGTATTTGTGGATCGTGTGATGAAAAGGGATGTAACCCTCAATATGTTTTTGATAAAAATTAAACTTCTTTACGGTTTTAGTGAAAGTTACTGTGAGACTATTGAATCAGTCTTCCGAAAAGAAATTAATAGATCTGTTAAGCCCCTATGGAGGTGATAATCATTATAACAATGACGAAATTTTTTGCTGGGGACAGCACTGGAACAATATAAAGTAAATGTAGTGGCTCTACATGAAATCCTGTGGGGAGATATTGATAATGTATCTCTTAGCAAGTACAAGCTAATAAATAGTGGCACTAAGAGAAATCAAAGAGGCACTGGTTTCATGATAAGAAAAAATATCCAACAAGTGCTACTTGGTTACGATTAAGGACATTTATAATAGTATTCAAATAGCACAATCACACTCCATTCACAATAAATAAAAATTACTATACAGACAAATAATAATACTAAAAGTAAATGTATATAAACTAAACTAAACAAAAAGAAACTAAGCTAATGAAAATAACTAATCAAATACAAGCCTTTCTCCTCACACCTGGAAGTACAATGGCTTAATAATACAGTGCGGTCATACGGATGGGACGGCTATATTGGATCGGCGGGAAACTAATATTTGAATAGTCTCTCTTTGTTATTTCAATTTAAAAAGTAATTATTGCAACAAACTATTAACTAGAATGGTTTGGGATATAGAATTGAAGTTGAGCAAGCTGAATGAAGAATATGAATCACTCGAAAATAAATAATAAAATCAAATAACAATATTTGTTTTGTTTTTTCTATTTAATTTCTTTTAAAATATATTCCAATAAACTTTGGCATATTAAAATTTCCATTTTATTTATCTTACTCTCTCATTGGCAAATTTCACAAACAAATTTATATAATTATTAAAACATTAAATAAAAATTGAGTGAAAATTAATTCTAAGTCAACAACCATGAAACTATTTTTATTCTTAATATTCGCCTTTGAAAAAAACAAACCATTAAATAAATGTAAATTATTTAATCTAAATTTAATTAATACAAATTTTTTTTTTTTTTTTCCTTTTTCTCGCCTCTACCCTAAAGGGTCATTGGCGTTTTCTATGATTTATACTCTGTTATAGTAGTTTACAATTTTTAAAAAATTTAACACTATCGAGACTCTTTCTTCATTGTCTTTTAGTATTTCTTTTAGTGTTTTTCCTAGTTCTATTTTTTCTCTGAGCCTTTCGAATTGGGAACATTCTACTAGAAGGTGTTTCACAGTTTGCGGTGTATTGTTACATTTCTCGCAAGTAGGAGCTTCTAGACCTCTTAAAAGATAGCCATGAGTGAACTGGCAGTGCCCAATCCTTAGGCGGCATAGTATAATTTCTTCACGCCTAGATTTTCTGTTGCTAGTGAGCCATTTATCGCAATTGGGTTTCACTTCTTTCAGCTTACACTCTTTGATCCTCCACTCTTTTTCCCACTCTGCCAGTTGTTTTTTCTTTATTTCGTGTACCCAGTCTTCTAAAGTGATATATTTCACTCTAGTCACTTCCTCTTCTTCTCCTCCACTTCTTGCTAAATGGGCTGCATTGTCAGCATTTTCATTTCCTAAAATTCCGCAATGAGCTGGTACCCATACCAATACAACTGTTATTCCTTTATTTTTTAAATCCCACCAGATATTGAGTATTTCCCTAATTATGGAGTTTTTAGGATATGGATTGTCAATGGCAGTTAAAACGCTGTATGAGTCCGTCACAATTACCCAGTAGTTCTTTTCAGTTTCCTTTATAAGATATAAAGCATTCATGATGGCAGTGGCCTCTCCTGTGAATACTGAACATTCTCCAGGTAATTTAAACAGTAATTGTTTCTCTTTACTCGCTAAAGCACATTATACAAATTATTACTAATACAAATTATTTAATTTAAATGTAATAAATATAAATTATTTAGTGTAAATTTAATAAATATAAATTATTTAATGTAAATTTTAAAAAATAAATTATTTAATGTCAATTTAATAAATGTAACTTATTTATTTTTACTTTGTTACTTCTGTCTGAACACCACAACTAGTGTTGCCCAAATGCCAGACCATGGCGGGTCTTGGTCCTCCGCAAGTCTTCCAGTTACCTATGAGCTTATTATTATAGATATATTACTGTAAGTTGTCAGATTTGGGAAACCTAACTAAGCCTAAATGAAATATTGAGAGTTAAATTCCAAAAGATATTGGTTTTACCAATTCTTTACATATGCTAACTAAATTTTTCAAGTTTTACTATTACAACTATTTCAAGATTGACTATTTTAACTTAATTTTTATTCATAAAAAGAATTTTTTTACCAGTCTTGGTCTTACAACAGTTAGACGGCCTTAGTCTTGGTCTTGCAAAGTACATCACCAACACCAATTTTGGACAACACTAACTATTATAAATCGACTACTATTACAAATTTAAATAGTTCAAAATTTGAACCTCGATCAATAGATTCATTTCTGATCATTGATATAATATATTTTTTATGAAATGGTTTACCTCTTACCATAATGTAGATATTGTACATTGCATCTCTTGTTTTATTTATTTTTCATTACTTTTTTGGGAAATTAGAGATTGTTGGCTATAATATATTTTCAATTTTATCACACAGGATATACCAAGTAAAAATAACTAATTGTGAAACATAAAACTATAAGGATAAAATGCAATCAATGATCAATTGATTGAAGAACTATCCAATTTAACTTGGAAAAGAAAATACTTTTAATCAACAAAGGAATATAAAAAAAACAAAAAGATGAAACAGAGAATATTTATTTACTTACAAAGAAATTTAAATTTATAAATTCTGCACATATACATTTACAGATTTACTGCTAAAAACAGACATATAAGGGAAATTCTTTTTACTTATTGAATTTATCCTAAGTCTAAATACAATAAACCTCTTAAGAATACTATATTTAATATTTTGACAATTAATTATGTGTTCTTCATCAACAGAACTCATTTTTCTATATGAAAAATCCTCTTAAATCACCTCTGACTGATTTGATTTAGCTCATACAGGTTTCGAAGATGACTTAATCCTTTAATTTGTTACTTTCTTTTATTGATTTTCTTTTGTAATTCAGTGGTTATGAAAGAAAAAGATGGAAATTAAGTTTGAAACTTGATTATAGAAGATATTTTTATAGTTTCAGGTTATTAGCTGATACAATTTTTATTTTGAAGTCAGTGGTTTCAAGTATAAAATTGAAATTTGGTTTTCCTTTATAGTTATTGTTACTTTCAATATTAAAAATATGAGTGTAATTGATGATCCTTAAATCATAGTTTAATGGAGTATAGTTGATGAT